AAATATTAAAAAAAAAACACTTAAAGTCCAAATAACAACTAAGCTATATTGATAATATTCCCTATTCATAGAAAGTACGTTCGCCTGAGCTGGTCATGTATAATTCCTTATCACACTAAATAATGTATCTCGTAACAAAACATTTCTTAATGCTATATTTCTAGAAAATCGAATAATCTCCAATTAAGCGCAAAGCAAGTTACAAACAAGTAAATAAAAATAGCTGTAATTTACCGCTATTATTTTAGGAGACGCCTAATTTTCAGTAGCTTGTTGGCAAATATAAAACGTAACACACCCCTTCGACGCCATTTTCGCGACGGTCCTGCACATGAGGTTTCAGAAAATAAATTTCACTTAATAGATCAATCAAGAGGGTTTTTTCAATATCATTTCCGTTGCAGATCGATTGTTAGTACGTTAAGATACTATTTAACATAATTTTGCCAAGTCTGGTTCCGCTCAGTCATGGCTTTGCGTTTAACAAGCATTTCGCTGCACAGGAACCAACAGTAGTAATCTAATCAGTCGTATTTAGGCTAACAATAAATCTAATCCACACGTTGTTCCTCACCTAAGAGGGGGGGGGGGAGGATTACTCCTCCTTCTTTTATATAACATTTTTGTTCATTTGCGGCCGAAGTAAGATGCGTCTTCAACAAATAACAATAACAATCCCGTGTCTTAAGGCAATTGTATGGAGTTGAATTTAGATATATCATTTAGGCTGATCATCAGGGTTAGAATATGACTGCCCATCCTCCAACTTCGCATATAGGAGAATAATGCCCATTATTGAAAAAAAAAGTAAATTTTGCATGCTATTGAATATATTTAAGTGACATCATATTGGCTATCCGCCTGGCTTTCCCACGGGGACTGCCTTCCTTGCAGAAATAATGATTCACAGATGTAATGGAATTACTTGAAAAAGGGTCTAATTTCACATTGCAATATTCATCTCCATACCCTTTCATTGTGTAAAGTATATACCTAACCTCTACTCAGGGCCTAATGCCTAGTGGTATTTGTTTTCCACTTTGGGGGACTGCAGGCAAGTAAGCTGGAAGAGCATGAGGAAAGAGGAATAATTTAGAAAGCATAGACATTTCAGTCGCCGGTAAATATTTCGGAGGTGAAGGCTTCAAAAGTGACTGCCTCCATTAACATTCCATTAATCTTTATGTAAGCAAATGTAAGAATATTCTACTTTTACTGTATCTTGCAGATCTATATTTTTATTCCTATCAATATTCGCATTTTCAATTTTCTTGGATCGTAGTTATTTATATTGTAAATGATAATGTTACTCAATAAATCATTGCTAATGGTTGACAAGTGTTACATTATTGCCTTTCTTACGGTAACTGATTATACATCAGCCATTCATATATATATATATATATATATATATATATATATATATATATATATATATATATATATATATATATATATATATATATATATATATATATATATATATATATATATATATACATATATATATATATATAATATATATATATATATATATATATATATATATATATATATATATATATATATATATATATATATATATATATATATATATATATATATATATATATATATATATATATATATATATATATATATATATATATATATATATATATATATATATATATATATATATATATATATATATATATATATATATATATATATATATATATATATATATATATATATATATATATATATATATATAATATATATATATATATATATATATATATATATATATATATATATATATATATATATATATATATATATATATATATATATTATATATATATATATATTATATATATATATATATATATATATATATATATACATATATATATATATATATATATATATATATATATATATATATATATATATATATATATATATATATATATATATATATATATATATATATATATATATATATATATATATATATATATATATATATATATATATATATATATATATATATATATATATATATATATATATATATATATATATATATATATATATATATATATATATAATATATAATATATATATATATAATATACATATATATATATATATATATATATATATATACATATATATATATATATATATATATATATATATATATATATATATATATATATATATATATATATATATATATATATATATATATATATATATATATATATATATATATATATATATATATATAGTTTATGTGTGAATACACACATATTTACATATGTATGTGTGTACTTTAAAAGGAACAAAAACAGGACAAGAGAACACAGGACAAAACGAAGCTGAACAAAACGAGAGGGCATGGGAAAAGGTGAAAGGAAGGAGCAGGAGATGGCTGCAAAGAATGCGACCAAACCTTAAAAGCGCACCCACGTCCTCGTCCAATGTCAAGGAAAAGAGATCAAGGCCTAAAGCCAATCTGCAGCCGGAACGAAAGATGAGATTGAGGATATCCAGCCAGTAGGTGTGCCAAGCACAGTTGGTCTGCCTGTCGACCAACCACGCTACTACACTCGATGTTAAGAGGAAGCAGAGAAGCTTCCTCGTGGAGTTCAGATGTTGTAGAATTGATCCCAATTTACTACATAGATCCATTTGAGAGCTTTATTTTCAACAAGCTAGAGTTTGCGCTTGTTTGTGTATGCTGTTTCTGAGAATGCAAGTGGTGTGTATGTGAGGAGGGGTTTTATTAGAGTTCTGTATAGATGCAGCTCCATACGCTGGGCCGCACATGTAAACCATTAAAGCGAATGTAAGGTTTCCCGTTCCAGAGTGGCCTTTGAGCTTACGTGCAAATGAAAACGAAAGTTAGTGTCACAGCTGAAAGGATGGTACAAGAGTGTATGATTTGAAGTGGTAGTTATAGTCTGCCGAAGGTGTTGAGGTTGTAGTGAAATCCAAGGATATATTTAATCATCTTATTAGTTTAGTTTAGCATCCCCTTTTAAGCTTCTGTTTAATTCATCTATTTTAAGCTTTTATTTCTGCATTTCTCTCACATCCTCAATATCTGAGCTCCATCCTTTATTTCTCTTTTGCCTTTATGAATCAGGACATCATACATCATTTGAATTTCACAATCAGTACGAGACACCACATAGGGCAAGATACACCTGAATGACCCAAGTTATGAAGTACCACTGAACATGTGTGTGTGTGTGTGTGTGTGTGTGTGTGTGTGTGTGTGTGTGTGTGTGTGTGTGTGTGTGTGTGTGTGTGTGTGTCCCCCACCCTCCAATTTATTTCAGCATCAATAGACACTCAAAGAAGAAGAAGAAGAAGAAGGATTGTTCCTTTACTTATAAAATGTGGTAGCGAGCGTTACTAAAGGCACCATTTTTCAACTCTCCAGAGACATGTAAAAAGTATGTAGTTGGCGCATAATATTAAACACTTCCGATCTAACAAGAAGATTTTTATTAATATCACGTTCACTTTGATACAAATCCTATCCAATAGATGCCAAAAAAAACTAACTCCGTTTCTGAGAGACTCCACCACCAAACAACATGGCTGCCCCAAAGCTGGCCCCGGCCTTCTCTGTCTAAGAGTCTGGCTACACTCCCTGAGTCACCTCCTTGGCGGGACCCAAGATGTGCAAAAGCGACATAGCTAATTATTGTTGTTGTTCTTGTTCACCAATTGTCAGGCCTCGTTCGCTAGTTTCGCGTAAGCTAATTGAGTGATGGACTAATGTATCTCTCTTCCTAGAGAAATCTTTTAAATAAACGGAGATTTTTACTTTTAATTGATGATGAAAGCTTTTATTTATAGAGGATATTTTGCTTAAATAATGTCCTCGGCACGTCCGTCAGATCTGTTACATCCTTCCATTGCCAAGTGCGATTTTCCGTCCTCTCTCCGTGACACGTCGCGGAGGCCCAGAAGGCGGAGGTCCGGGCCATCCAAAATCGCGGAGGCGCAGACGGGGTCTTCATCTTTGCTTGAGCTCCGAACACCACGGGGGGGAATCAGCGTGCCGTGTGCCCCACATTCACTTCTCCTGCCCCTCGAGGTGTCCTCACTGATAGCAGACAGTCTCGGGCCAACTTAAATATTCTAAAATAAAGCTTCCTGGCGGATTTAAAGAAGAAACACTTCATTTATATTTCTATTTCTTCAGTAAAATGTGGGGGCTTATTGACAGATACACCAGCAGATCGGCTGAAGCTAGAACTAAGTTTTGTGTGTCTTATAAGCAACCTCCACTTGCATAGGCATCTATGGGTGGACTTCTAGAAAAAGGCTATTAACAAAGACAAAATAACCTGAAAGGAAACGAGAACTAGTACTGGTACCATAGTATTAATCAAACAGCATTATATCATATATTAATGTAAATATGAATTACCTAATATTCTTGTCAGTTCTTAAGTGATAACCAAAAAGAAATCAGCAACCATAAAACCCAAAATAGATAAGATAAATGGACTTTAAAAAATGTAAAATATAGATCAATTTGAATAAAGGTAATCCATGAATCTGTCAGGTATCTACACCTGAGGTACGAGCAAATGACAGAAAAGCAGCAGTCCCAGGATCACTTGGCTCATCCCAATCACCACATTCGTACTCTTCCTCACCATCCTCATCATCAATGTCAAGATATTCTAATTCTTCCCTGGCAAGATAAGGTTTCATTTGGTTGATCTGAAAGTCCTATCTTACGGGATGGAGGTTTCTTGACACTCATAGATGACAGGACCTATTTTCTTGGTAATCCGCGTTGGCCCAATCCATCTGGGCCCTAAACTACTAGCTTCGGTCAGTGTTGCCCTGGGAGTGTCTTTAACCGGGACCAAGGTTCCAACATCAGCACAAAACTCTTTCTTTACCTTTCGATCGTAGTATTTACCCCGGGAATTCCGAGCTCGACGTGAGGTTTCCACGACATCCTTCACAACTTTGTTACTTCATTCAACCATGCCATTCACCTGTGGATAATAAGCCCTTGTAAATGAAGTTTTGGTCTCCAAAAGTTGGCAAACCTGCGAAAATAAAAGATCTGTAAATTCTGAACCAGTATAGGTCTGAAGAATACGGGGTGGTCCAAAAATAGGTACATAATGTTGAATGAAGGCGGTTGTTACCGTTTCTGCACCTTTAGATGGTAAAGGTTTAAGTTGCAGGTATCGTGTAAGATGATCAGTTATACTCAATATATAACTGTTTCCATTGTTAAAGCTATGCAAATCCAAAAGATCGGCAAAAACCCTTTCAAATGGTTGAGAAACCTCTGGTACCTTTGCCATAGGAGCTTGTCGGTGTCGTCTTTGACAAGTACTACAACTTTTGACATATTCCTTTGTTTCTTGAAACATGTTGGGGAAGTAGAACAAATCCCATAACTTACAGTAGGTTCTATAGACTCTAGGTTGAGCAGTGATAACAGATGCATGTGCCACTTTTAGTGCTGCTCTTCCCAACTCACGTGGAATAACACGATGGAGAATCTTGTCAGGTAAATGCCTCGCATGGAACAACCCACCATCCTTTAATTCGAATTCATTCAGGGGTAGTTTTCTTCTTGGTACAGCTTTCTCCTGTAAGTACTCTACAACTCCACGCCACGGGGGATCTCGACGGTATGCTTCCTTTAGATAATCTGCCTCCAATGATGCTTCTTCACCGATAGCTGCAACAGGTCTGCTGAGGAGATCAGGGACCTGATGAGATGCTCCAGGCTCATATTTCAATGTGTATTGATAGAATGATATCTCGTGTGCAAAGCAGGAAATAAGAAGAGACTAAGTTTTTCTATGGAACACAAATGTCATACCATAGAGGTATGGGTTGAAAACTCATACCACTTCAACAACAGCAAGTGCCTCCACATCAACGGTACCTGGTTTCAGTATCGCACAACTTCCTGAAAAAATAACTAACCACACATGGTAACCCTTTGTTGTTCTGCTGCATCAGACAAGTTACGATAGCGAGTTTTGATACGTCAGTATGCACTTCGAAGGTCCTATGGAAATCGGGATTTATTAGTACAGGTACAGATGAAAGGCAATCTTTCAGCTTCTGAAAATCAATTCCCTCAGGCGTAATTATGAATCCAAGAAACTTGAAACGTTGCACAACAAACTCGCACTTATCCAT